TGCCCAGATCTTTTGGGTCTCTTTAGCACCGTTCGATGGCGACTTTGCTACAAGCCATCCGCCGAGGCAAAATATGCATATCCCTCTCCATCGGGCACATTTTGATTTTTAGCAAATTCTTGAATTTTACTTGAATTTTACTTTTCGCCACCCTCTCTGCATTGGCTTGGAGTTCTGAGTTGGACCTTTCAGGCACACGTGCATCTCTTAAAGGGCATTCAGCCAATACTATATTTGGTACATCTTCCATCACACCCTTACAAAGTCAGAAAACGGCGGAGCTTGAAAAGGCGTGGCCACTCGCTCTGGTGTGTGTGTGCAAGCTTATATCCATATAAAATTACATTAATATTTACACTGAATTATTGAATATTTTATAATAGTCCTATATAATAGTAGAACGGTATGAAGATTAATCTGACGAAGCCAATTGCATAGTCATATATTTTCATTTTGAATAAATGAAAACAATTATTTTCTAAAGGAAGGAATTCTAACATTTATGCACTTTATATAAATATTTTATATAATTGAATGTGTGCCTGTCTGTATGTCTGTTTTAAATATTTGTGTAAAAACCAAACATCCAATCGCCGTGAAACTTTGGGAAGTCGTTTACTATACTACCGGGAAGGTTCTGATTTGAATTTGATTTGAAATAATTATTTGTTGCAAATTTATTTGCAAATTTTCTACTTACTCTCAAGCAGCGCCTCTTGCGGCATCCGGTGAAATTACATTTATAAATTGTTAAAATGCTAAAATGTTTTCCAAGTATAATAAAATTTTTATTTTTATTTAGACACTTTCATGATGATATTTAATGGTCACAAAATTATTGTTCAATTGAAATTCGTTTACAATATTGTTTAATATCACAAGTGAATAAGCATGTTTATTCTACCATCAACTATGTATAGCTATGTTTTGTACATATTGTAAAATAGATGACAAGGCCAAGATTTCAGAGTAAAATTGTGGGAAGATGAGTGGAGGGATGGCGATGTGTTGCCGGGGGGCAGGCCCTATGAATAGCATTCCTGTGTGGAGAGGACTGTGAGAGGTATCAAAATTTTGTTCAAACACAGCAATGTGTGAACGGGTACCGCTAGGTGGAGCAGAGTATCAAACATGTAGTTATCTTGACAAGTATAGATTCAGTAGGGATTGGATGTTTTTAGAATCGTTTTTACAAATGTTCGTTCAGCAAACTTTTACCGAGGTAAATTCGATATACCGAGGTAAATTTGCCGGGTACATTCGATAGTAATAGATAAAGCAAACCTACAGCTTCCTGTATCGTACAAAAAAGGTCGCAAACTACCTTAGAATTAATTTAAAATCGTTTCAATATATATTTTGATTTCACCCGATTGGCATTATCCCGTAGTTCAAGATTTTTACCAAAAAAAAAAATCGAGAGGCGAATAAATTACAAGAAACTATTTGCCTCACAATTTCGTTTCTTCCTCTGATAATATACTGCTCCAGCTGATCATTCAACTTACGAAAAGCTTTTACATTCAGATAATATCATCCTTATATTGGTGAATTAGTGATTTGAACTTCTTGATTCAATATATTTGTTGTCATATTTTTATCAATTTTAAAAGGAAAATGAGAGAGAACCTTCCGCTCAAAAATCTGGGTTTTCAAACCCATATTTATTCCTTTATAAATATTAGAATCGATGTTTTATCGTCGTTGAAAATACATCAATCACGAAACATTATCAAACGAACTTTTCAAATAGGTCGATAAATGATTTATGATTTTTATGTTTTGTTTTTTTGTTAAAAATTGACACATTGTTATATTTATATTATTCTGAAAAGAAAATACTCATTTTATGAGATAAATATATTTATTATAGAAATGGGAAATAACCATTCCAAAGGTGATATATATATTTCAAATTTTATATATTTTATTAAATATCTTTAACACAAAATAATTAAATCTAGAAAGTATTCAGTTGACGAAAACGTAGAATATGAATTATCATATAAAAAAAGTCATTAAGTTTACAGTCAACAAATTCACATGTACACAATAATATAATATAAAAATTAAAGTTTCTTTTATATTTTTTTAATCAAAATTTTGACCAAGAATATACAAAGTAAAAGATTCAATATTCATATATTTACTTAAGGGTTTTCTATGTATAGGTGATTATTACTTCTTGCATAAATTAAGAAAAGGATTTTCAAACTTTTTGGAAAAATATTTTTTTTTTTATTTTTTTGATTTACATTTTCGGTTCAATAAATATCATGGAATATATTAAATTAATATGCTTTCACTTTTTATTTCATTATCTGATTATTCAGAAATTAATATTTCTATAGGCACTTGCCCTGATTCCAGAATTTCTGGAATTTTTTAAATCGTTTTTATTTTTGTGATAAATCAACAAAATAATTCTTATCATACCTATGTATGTCATAATATTTCTTTGAATTTTTATATAACGATTGTTTCAACCCATAATACTTGTATTTCTATGTTGATATCATGATTTCTTCTTGGAAAATAAATTCTTCAAAAATGATTATTTTTGTTATCTTTAAATAACAATAAGAAATTCAACATAAAATAAATGATCGTTAAAATATACATTTTTAATATTTCAACATTTTTCTCAAATTATATTCTAAATTAAATCCTTTCATCACTTCTTTTGACTTTCATTGTGAAAAGAAAAATAAGCTAGCTTAATAAATTTATAAGAAATTATTCCAATTGTTTTCCTGAACACCTTCGGGAATTATAATTATTTTATTCAAAGTTGAGATTTATTAAATTTGACAATAAGTTATTTACATTAAACGTCATATGTTTTAAGATATTCAAACTAAACATATAAGTATGGGTGTTCTTGTTTGAATTGATTTTTTGTTGCATATACGTTTCATTTGAAAAAGAAAACTTGAAATATAAAATAGGCAATACCGTGCCATATACATATATACGAAATAAAATCATTGACATTGAATGTTTCTTTTTATATGGTGAGAACCAACTTCCAGTGACTTTACTTCAATATAAAAAAATTGGTAGAGGTTGGCTTATCAATGGGGAACTCTCCAAGCGTTTGCCAATTTAATCCAACTGACCATATTTAGAACTCTAATATATACACACACATAACATTGAAGGTTGGAATTTTAGATATGTGGTATCAAGGCAAGCCTAAAGGGACAGTAGATTTATATATAAATATTAAGAAAAATACATATTTTTATCTCGTGCAACTCAAAGTGAAATGAATAAGGAAATGCCTTTTTTTAATTCATCTTATCCCAGTACGATTTTACATTTGTACTTCACATATAAATATGTTCAGTTAAAAACGATATATCTTGGATAAATATATATTGCATCTTTATTTTTACGTTGAATTTTATGAATTGGTATTTATATTTTTAGATTATTATAAATATTTATGCATAATATTTTTAATATAATATGTACATGAATATATAATATTTATATTGTCCTAGAAACCTATGACCAGAGTTTATGTCAAAATAACATATTTAGGATTGTATACAGTGAGGCAAATAATTTTTAAGAATGGGTTTGTAAAATAAAAAAGAAACAAGCTAATTCAATTTCTACTATTTTTTTATTCAAAATAATCCCCTCCGGAGTTAATACATATGTTACAACGATTTAATAAGGAATTAAATGCCTCTTGCAGGCCACTTTGAGGAATTGCCTCCAAAGTGCTCGTCGCAGCTGTCTGGATGGTCGGGATATCATAAAAAAAGCAACCTTTTAACTTCAATTTTATTTTTGAGAATAAATAAAAGTCACATTGTGCTAAATCAGGCGAGTACGGAGGATGATTCAACACACAGACGTTATTTTTGGCCAAAAAGCGACGAACAGTGAGTGATGAGTGACTCGGTGCATTATCATGCAGCAAACACCAACTGTCTTCATCGCGATATTCTGCACGAATGCGACGATTTCTAGCAATCAAACGTTTCAAAACGTTTAAATAATACTCTCCAGTAATGGTTTGTCCAGCGGGAACAAATTCTTTGTGGATAATATCTCTACTATCGAAAAAGGTAATCAGCATTGTTTTGATTTTTGATGACACTTTTCGCGTTTTTTTGGCTTGTGGAGAGTTTTTTGACTTCTATTCGGCACTTTGGCGCTTTGTCTTTGGGTCATACTGAAAACACCATGTTTCATCACCCGTAACAATTGATTTCAGGAAGTTTGAATTATTTTCATAGGCAGAAATGATGTCCCTGCAATGTGCAATTCACACTGATTTCTGCTCGCCCGTTAAAGTGTGTGGAACAAATTTAGTACAGACTTTAGTTTTACCTAAATCTTCATGCAGAATGGTTCGAATCGTTTCTTTGTTGATGTGTAAAACCTCTGCCATCATTGTTTTCAACAAATTCTCGCACTTTTTCTATACTTTCTGGTGTCTTTGAAGAACTTGGTCGTCCAGTATGCTTATCATCTTCTAGCGTATTTCTTCCATCCGAAAAACGTTTGTGCCAAATGAAAACATTTGATTTACTCAAACATAACGTACCATAAACTTGCTTCATCAAAATATATGTTTCCGATGCACATCTACCAAGTTTTGCATTAAATTTAATGACCGCTCTCTGTTCCATCTCAGAATTCCGACGAACAAAAATTTTTACTTTTCAAAAATCGCCTGTATGTTTTTAAAGAGTTAACCAAAATGGCTGAAACAAAGCCACGCGCTAGATAAGTCTTCGAATATATATACGCATGCGCAATTTCATAACTGGCTCTGCTATTGGCCTTTATCTAGCGCGAGTCTTAAAAATTATTTGCCGCACTGTATATAACGACATTTGAAATTTATCCCACATGTGTTTCTTCGAAATTTCGAAAATCGAAATTTATTTTAAGTAGAAATAACGATTATTTCTAACCTTATGGATGAGGTATGAAAGGATGTATTGTGAATATTAATGATTTAACCCGAAAAATAAAAGTTTCTAGGGATGGGAATCGAACCTACAGTGTTCCGCTTATGGAGCAGATGCCATGCCACTAGGCTTCCCTGAACATATTTTAAATTAGGATTCCATTATTTAGCGTCTCATATTTAATCAAAATCGCCCAATATAAGTTTTAGAGCATTGAAACAGTTTGTTCATAAAATTGGCGCAACGGTTTGGAGGGTTACCCACGGGTGAGGTAAGCTATGCCAATAGTTTTCATTGCAGTAAGGCTAGTAGAAAAGTTTATTTTATATTATAAATGTAACATTGGTGTGATTAATGGTTTCATTCCTTATATAAAAATATTATAAATTAAATATATATTAAATGGATTTAGGTTAACACTAGAAATATATAAATGAAATATAATTCGCTGAGGGAAGATTTTCCTTTTATATATAATGTAAATATTGGAAATACAAGCGTATATATCTTATATTAAGAAAAGAGATTTGATCTGCTTGATTTTTTGATCATGTTAAGGATCATGGTAATGGTGGTGCAGTCGTGGCTATAATAATAATAAAAATGGTTTTGATCAGATATTGATTTAATTGAGCTTATGGGATATATTAAAAAAAAACATACTTTGATAAAAGTACTGCCTGGCTTAAGGCGTAAGAATAAATAAAATGAAAAGATTATTTACATAATTACAAAGTTTTGGGTCGGCCAACGGGGAAGAACAACAACGAGATTTTTATATGATAAGCGTGACCTCTGGCGGTCGATTTAAACAGAGTATTTATATCTATGACATTATAATTTTAAATAAAATAATATTTTTTTATATAACATTTTTAAATAAAATATTTCAATATAACATTTTAAATAATACCCCCATATAACATTTCAAAATAATATATTTCAATATAACATTTCCCCCCTGTGAAGAAAATAACGGGTTCATCCAGAGAAAAGTGATAAAAAAAATATTGTTAAAAAAAGATAAAATGATTTATGGAAAGAAAATAATGTGAGAGGTGATATTCACTTATCATATTGGTTTTAAATATGGTAACCAATAGACAGGAAAGTACAAAAATGATAATATGAATAATTATAACAAAAATGTGGTGAAGAGTGAAAATTGTGGTAAAGAATGAAAATTGTGGTAAAGAGTGAAAATTGTGGTAAAGAGTGAAAATTGTGGTAAAGAGTGAAGAAATTGGTGTTCCATCATCGTATTGGCTTATTGTGAACCAATAGATAGGGAAGATAAATGAGAAAATTGACACATTATAAGAATGAAGAAAGAAAATAAAATGCATGATTATTAAAAGTTGAGAAATAAAAAGGTGATATTCCATGATCATATTGGCTTGTTGTGAGCCAATAGATTGGAAATGGCAAATTGATGATTGTTAAAGAGAAAAAAAGATGTTCCATAATCGTATTGGTTTATTGTGAACCAATAGATTGGAAATAGACAAAAATACACATATAATATTAATGAGGAAGACAAATAAAATGGATGATAATTACAAAAGCATAAAATGAAAATATGAAGAACATAGAAAACAATATGAAAAATAATTGGCAATAGATATATGGCAATGCTAAAAACATTTGATGATAAAAGGCATTTATGAAAAAAAAAAGCAATAAGTTGAAGGTAAAGTTTAATTATGTACAAAGGAAAATGTGCAACTAAGGAATGAACATGTTAAGATTTAAAAAAGGTAATGGTAGGAATAAAGAATGGGTATTGAAAAAAGAATCAAGGTGAACAAAACAAAAGTTAAAATTTACATATGTTGGTAATGATAAATTTACATAGTTAGGTACGCTTTTATATATAATTACATATGATATAGGTAAAGTGGGTAAAAATACAAATTTTAAAAATAAAAACATTGTGAAATCAGATTAAATAAGAAAATATCAAATACTAAAAGTTTGGGAATTTAAAATATATGGAAATGTGAATCTATAATGTATTGAGGTCATTAACGAAATTATATAGTGTAAATATGATAAACAATGTATAAGCTAATTAAAATATTGAAGATGTGAGAAAAAAGTAATATATTTGTGTTGTTGTCCTCCCGGCCGACTGTTTTACATATAGAATTATAAAAAAATGATATGGTGAAATAGTTTAACTTAAATGCAAATATTTAAAGGTATAACTATGGAATGGGAAATATATTTTAGGGTCAAATTATGCAAAGCAAAACAAGGTTTAAAATTATTAAGAGGTGTTGTGCAACCTAGACGAAAAAAAAACAGCTATGGCAAAATTAATTTGAAAAAAGGGTATATAACTATAATAGGCGATTTAAAACTATTGTAAATCATAGCGAGAATTTAAAAAAATTAAATGATGTAAGTTATGTAAAAGGTAGATACAAGGTACCTTGGAAGGGATGATTCTGGCTGGAGCCGATTTCCGGAGATGGCTGGCGATGAATGGGAGAAGGATGCTTCTTGGGAGAGGGATATCCGGAGTTGTCCTGAGTTAACTGGAGATGGCCGCTGGAGATGACCATGGCTTGAAGCTATGACTTTGAATGAATTAGGCTATCAGGTTGAAGAAATCTTTGTTTAAAATATTTGTATTTTTGATATTGATTAATTTTGCTTTTGGAATTTTGAAAAAAACAGGTAAATATCCTGTCGGCTATTCTTATATTAGGAAAAGAGATTTGATCTGCTTGATTTTTTGATCATGTTAAGGATTATGGTAATGGTGGTGCAGTCGTGGCTATAATAATAATAAAAATGGTTTTGATCAGATATTGATTTAATTGAGCTTATGGGATATATTAAAAAAAAAACATACTTTGATAAAAGTACTGCCTGGCTTAAGGCGTAAGAATAAATAAAATGAAAAGATTATTTACATAATTACAAAGTTTTGAGTCGGCCAACGGGGAAGAACAACAACGAGATTTTTATATGATAAGCGTGACCTCTGGCGGTCGATTTAAACAGAGTATTTATATCTATGACATTATAATTTTAAATAAAATAATATTTTTTATATAACATTTTTAAATAAAATATTTCAATATAACATTTTAAATAATACCCCCATATAACATTTCAAAATAAAATATCAATATAACATATATATATATATACTAGCGGATGTGTATCCGGCTTCGCCCGGGTTTTATTCGAGTGAAAGTTTGCCTAATGAATATTATTGATAATAATATTCGGGAATACACAGAATATTATGATAATATAATTCATTACGTCATATATTTATATAATATATGAATTTTATTTTTCGAGCAAACATCTCTACTACATTCTCTACTGAATAGATTTTCAAAAAGATATACATAAATAAAAATATCTAGATATACTACATGATCTTAGCCAAAAGGCCGAGAAACGATATTTTATATATAGAGATGACCTGGTTTCATGTGTTTTCTGCTCGAGTGAATGTTTCGCTGGTAGAATTTTGTTCCTGCCTACTATTAATCATTATCTGGCTTCGCCCGTGGTCTACTTTAGTGAATATTCCCCAAAAGATTTTTTTAATGCAATCAAGCATGATACGGCAATATTGTCATCATCATTTCTGACTAAAAAATTATTGTTGCTCAGTATTTGGTTAAATATAATTTTTCTTGGTTAAAGTTCGACAAAAAAAAACTCTTCCAGATTTAACTCTCTGTCCTGTTCAAATTTCAGCGAGATTAGTTACATATTGAGGGCGTGCATAGCCGACAAACATATATATATATAAGGTAAAACCTATATAATAAAAATATAATAGTGATTCTATATTTAAAATTTAAAGAGTAAACTGATGAGAATGATAATTTATATCAAGTAGATTTGATTAGATTAGCAAGCTAAATCTAAATTAATTATAAAAATAAATAGTTGTTTAGTTTTATAGTTTAGTTTTGTATTAAAATTATCTTTATTGCTTTGATTATTTAAATTCAAATTATAAAATTTGTAAATTGTTATTATTTAATAGAGAGAGAAAAAAAATTTCTTTACTTCTTACACATCATCCATATATATTTATAATTAATAACAATAAAATTTAACAACGTAACGTCTTTTGCAATCGGCTGTTACCCGTCATTTAGACATACTCTAATTTGTATATAGAATAATAGAAGTGAGAATATATTAAATAGTATAAATTTTAGTAGTTAGAGAAAAGAGAAAGACAGAACCATGCACTTTTTTCAAACTAATAATAGGAAAAAAAAATTATAAAGAAGGTAGATAAGATTGTTAGTATATATATATATTAGATAATAAAAGGCATATATTGGATTTTATAAAAAAATTATTTTGCCAATATTTCGGCTGGCTGAACGCCAACCTTTATCGAGGCATTACAATCGAGTGTATACAAAAATGTAATGCCTCGATAAAGGTTGGCGTTCAGCCAGCCGAAATATTGGCAAAATAATTTTTTTATAAAATCCAATATATGCCTTTTATTATATAATGAATTAAATATGGATTGCTCTATTTTCAAAATATATATATATATATATATTTTTATGATTTTATATTTTATCCTTTTTTTATAATTTTTTAATTTTTTTTATTTTATAATATGAATATATCTAGTTGTATTTAGTAATATATCTATAATATGAATTAACTTTTGTTATAAATTTGGTTATTATGTTTTGAAACCCTAATGGTAGACCAGACATATACAAAAAAAATTAAAATGAATTAATTAGTGGAAAGAGAGAAATCTGCTGGACCGGAGATTTTCAAATAGAAATCCAGCGACATTTCACTCCTGCTCTATAATGCCATAGATTTCTCTTCGACCGGATTTTATGTGTTAATATTAAGTTGTTTTAGTGAAACATTTATATGCACAGATTTAACAAATACAAGTGTTAAGAAATTTTAACTGTCACCTACCTCATCTGTGACGCCTTTTTCTGTAAACAGCTATTTCTGGTTAACATCTGTTGCGGGGGGGACACATGTTCGTCCCTTCAAAATTAGACTGCTTTCTCAGAAATTTCAGATCAATAAGACAACTGAAGAAGAAAGAAAATAGATAAGGGAAGAAAGTTAATCTTTATAATCTTTACAGTTAATTATATTAATATAACT